ATATATATGAATGAAGGATGCGATGACAATCGTGTCAACTAATGAGGTCTGACTTATAGGGTTGTCTTTTTTTTTTATGAGATGACGATTTTATGTTAAAAGAACAACCAAATATTGTAAGGTGAGATTAGAAGATTTGAGTATTCTCAAATTTTGAAATGTGGTGTGTTTTGATTATTTCATGTTGATAGGAAGATGATAAACTGGAAAAGAAATATGTCTTTGAATCTATAATTGTGGGTTGGAATCAAAACCAATTCCAACCAAACGATAAAAAATACAGTTATTAAAAACCATGGTTGAAATCTGGAGAAAACCAATAAAATGGTAAAACTTATAGTTATAAAATATTTTTCTACATATATGAAAAATGTCTTTAAAATATATAACCATGGTTGAAATCAGAGCTAACCAGATGACAAAACCAATTAGTAATTCTTATATTTATCTTTATATATCTTATAGTAAAACTTACAATGAATGATGTGACATCATCATGAGTGAATATTCCTCATTTCTTGAACTGTGGTTCAGTTATATATATCTCACATTAGTGGATATATGAAAGATTTACAATTAATGGTGGGTATATGAAGGGAGGTTGAGATGTCTTTGTGGAAAGTAAGGGGGTTGGTTTCTCTTGACCGTTCCTCTAAACTTACGTCATTGGCTTATTCTGACCGACCCTCCAAGCTCATAGATAGACTCATTTTGACCAACTCTTTTTTAGCAAAAAAAAAAAAAAAATGTTAACCATAAAAAAAAGCCTTTGTTAAATTTAAGTATTTTAAGCGATTTTTTTGGTCATCGACATTCCACACGTAGTGAAATGAAGCATGTAGAGGCTCCATTTACCACAACCCCGTCTCACCGGCCATTTGCAACTCCACGTCATCAGCCCTCAAAAGCTCACTAACGTGGCCCTCTAAGTATCCACTTCTTTGTCTCTACCCCCTTCCCCTATAAAACCCTTCTTCTTCTTCTTCTTCTTCTTCACCATCATCATCATCACCACCACCRCYCCTCCTCCTCCCTCAAATCTTTCTGTAATCAMTAATGGCTGCCACTTCMGTCTTCATGGCAACTCCGTTCACACGTCTCTCCGCCACCCAACTTCCTTCCTTCCACAAGAATTCTGCCTTCTCCGTCAGATGCATGTCGTCTCAGCTACCAAACGACGCCGAAACCAAATCCAAAACACCACCACCTCCTGCTCCCAAGGTCAGCACCAAATTCACTGACGTCTTGGSGTTCAGTGGACCAGCACCGGAAAGGATCAACGGRAGATTGGCGATGATAGGGTTTGTGGCGACAATGGCGGTGGAGCTGAGCAGTGGTCAAGATGTGTTCACACAGATCTCCAACGGYGGCGTGGCGGTGTTTGTGGTGACGAGCGTGGTGTTGTCAGTGGCGTCGTTGGTGCCGTTGTTGAAAGGGGTTAGCGTCCAGTCGAAGTCGAAGGGGATAATGACGTCGGATGCGGAGCTGTGGAATGGGCGGTTTGCGATGTTGGGTCTGGTGGGTTTGGCTTTTACGGAACTTGTTAAAGGCAGTCCCCTTGTGTAATCTTTTTATAGTTATTAATCCAAAAATATTAAATTGCATTTTTTTTATTAATCTGGATATCCAACTCGCTATGCGAACCAACTAATATCAGGACGACCATCTGCTTTATTACAGATAGCCCGTAATCACCGCATTTGAACCTCTATGGTCACAAGAGGATTTTTATTCTTCCTTGGATTTCAACTTGTGATCTTCTGGTACTTTTGACCTTTGGAACGAAACTCAAACCAATCATGCATCATCCTTATATTAAATTGTTTATCGCATCAACAATAATTAACTTGTCAAACTGTCAACACGTAAACTAATATGATTGAAATTGGCTTAGACATAGTGCAATCCAACCTGCTGCCAACCCGCACTAATATATATTTAATCGACTTTATAATCGTAAGTGGGGTGGATTCAAAACGGTAACTCGTGCGATTGCCCAAGGCAACGACCACCGAAGGGGTAACATAGATGTAGGAGCCTAGGAGGGGTTTCAACCAAAAATTGAGAGGGAACATTAAGAAGATATCGACACCCGACACAGAGTTGTAGAGTGGCAACTAGGTTTATGAAGTTCCGGTGTGGCTGAGACGCCATTGAACATCGAGGCCAACGATGGGCAGTGGAGACGGATTGACGGTGGATACATTAGGTGTCGGCATAAGATGTTGTGTTTGTATTTGTGATGGAGAAACGATGAGGTGTTTTGGAAGAATCGATATAGGATACAAGAGCTATAATGAAAACATGTCTCAATCGATATCTTTTTAGAAAAAAAATTCACATATTTTTTAGTTGTTTTATTTTTAAGTTTTTATAATGAAAACATGTCGTCTCAATCAATATCTTTTTAGTAAAATTTTCTCCTATTTTTTAGTTGTTTTATTTTTAAGTTTTTATAAATGTGGTTTAATTTAGAGTCGTTTACCAAATGCTTACAGACAAGAGTCATCACTCTAATTTACCTTATGGGATAACATTATTGGCCATCAAAATGGATTTAACGGTAAGCGTTTATAAGCTGATAAGTGTTTATCGGATAATAGTCCATTACCTTCACTTACCACATAAAACTCTCGATCATTGTATTTTTTCTCTTATCGGGTATAAGATTCTCAGTCTTGGGGTAAAATTGTAAAT